TATGGGAAAGAGTGAAGAAGCTTAGACATTAAGGGAAGTTCGCTTGGAATGGGTTTTGAAATCAGATTTGGGTGAAGAAAACGGATCTGTAGTTAACTACTACAAGGCGTACTTCAGCTAGTGCTCAGGACTCAGTTTTCAGCGCAACATGGCGTACGTATCAGAAGAACAAGAGTGTCTCGGTCCAAGGTATTTCGACAGTGGGAGTTCAAGTCAGATAGTAGGTACAGTGAGCAATCTACAAAACGTCAAAAAGGCTAAAGGTGCAAATATAACTTCTAGAGACAAAGGTGATGGAATGCCTCAGCTCAAGGAAGGAGTCAAGAATATATGTGAACCGGGTTACAAGGAACATCATGTCAAGGCTCACCACATGAAAGTACTTGACGTTCAATCACAGTCAGACCTCAAGGGCACAAAGAATGACGTTGGTTCAGAGGAAAAATCTGGTTCAGAGGAGCAGTTTGGTTCAGATTAAGAAAAGATATTGCGAGTTCCTCGAAACCATTCAATCTCTAATGTGATAGCAAATCTCAGTGATAGGAGGATAACAAGAGGAGTGAAGTTGAATCTCAAAGAAGTGGTTCGATTTGCAACAAGTTTCGTGGAGGCCTTGAAGGACAACTCGTGACTCAGTTGTAGCATTCAAGCAGGGGGAGAATGGGAAGATTGATGAACATGAAGATGAGTATACGATCAAGGGAGAGTTTGAAGTTCATCAAAGAAGTGCTTGAATTCTAAAACTCGATTAAAAATGTATGTTTGAATGAGTTTTAGAATTCAATATGAGTTGATACAATTGTTCATCTAAGGAGTTAGAAGCTGATGGTAAAGCAGCTGAAACATGAAGATGTAGCTGAGTTGAAGCAGTTCTTGTATCAGTGCAGAGTACTATAGGAAAATGCTACAGACAGACAATTGATAGAGAAATGGATCGGGCTTGACGAGATGGGCTTGGGCTCACGACTTAAAGCCTTGGAGAACGAATCTACAAGCTAAGTGACAGAAAATATATTTAGCTTGGAGAGGATTTAGGAAGAAGAAGATTTCCATTTATCATTAGCAAAGATTATGGTACGATGGATACTCGAGAAGATTTGGTATCTTCCAAAACTTGGAGAAGAAGGCTAGATTAGCCATCAAGTCCTATTGTGTATAAATAGGAGTGGAAAAACGTGGGTGTACGTTTAACACAATTAGATCATATGTCTTAGCAAAGGAGATTGGAGATTGTCTAGTAAAAAGAGATCATGATCAAAGGGGCCAAGGGGTAGTGATAGGTTCACAAGGTCATGTGTGATTTGTGAACACGTTAGGCTAGGATTGAAGTTGATAAGTGGAACTTGTAAGTGTACTTATCGTTTGATCTAGTGAAAACGTTTTGGAGAAAAGAACCCCTTGTGTATTGTGTTCGTTTCATGTACTAGTACTTGTAGTACTCTCTGTAGCAGTAGCTCTTGCACTTACAGTTATTGTGACTTGCGAGTGTTTCCTAATCGGATTATGTGGTTAAACTTGACTACTACTACTTGATATAAAC